CTAGAAGAAAAATAAGGTAATAACTTTAGCACCCGGTTAGAAGGATGATCCAAACGCCGATGCCATAAATCAAAATCTGTCAAATCACCCCTTCGAACAGCATCAACAGTAGGTAATTTCCGGAAGTAGAACAGCCCATCTCGCCTCTCACCGGCTCCAATCAGGCTCCTCGAGCGTTGGTCCTGTATAGCACAGAAATTATTAGTAAAAGTGATAATACATGCAGATTGGTCAGTCAATTGAGAAACTGATATGAGATGACAGTTCAATCCTGGTACGTATAACACATTTTCAAGAATAAGTCCGTCACAGAGGGGTACGCGCCCTTCGAAATTGGCAGCAACCTGCCAACCATCCGACAGCCCAACTGAGCAGTCACATATACATATGGGATTGAGAAGACATGTAAAATCGCCCGTTACATGATGAGATGCTCCAGTATCGATGATCCAATCAGGACGAGATAAATACTTACCCGACATGCGGTCAGAAGAACGTGAATCAGTATTAAACTCAAAAGAGCCTGAACTTGCTCCTTACTCAAAGAAGCCACCCCATTTGTTTCACTGCCAGGAGTCCCATTCTGCTTTCCATCCGAGAAGCTGCCAGCATCGGGTGAAGAAAAGGAGGCTGCCACAGCATGTGTGCGAACCCCCCCCCCCCCCCCCCTTGGGCAGAGTTTGCCTCCGGTCTGCCCTTTAGCCCGTTGGCGTTCCTCCCACCATTCCGGATACCCGTGAAGTTTAAAACATGTTGACACCTCATGCCCCTTCTGCCTGCAGTGCGTGCATACCGGCCGTGCCCGATCTGGCCTATCATCTCGGGTCCTGACAGTTCAGTCAGCTTTCAGGGCAAACGCCTGAACTTCAGTTGTTACCATAGTCTTTCCACGAGCAATTGCTCTCGAGTTCTCTTCCTGCAAAAAGGCCTGATGCGCACGTCCAAGGTCTGGTAGTGGGTTTTGAGACAGAAGATTGGATCGTATCGTTCCGTAAGCTTCATCATCAATACCAACGAGGAATTGATGTAATTTTTCCTCTTCCCTATCAGCTGCGAATTTCCCAACAACATCACATGTGCACCCTCCACACGAGCAAACATGTAATGGTTTCAGCCGGTGAAGCTCATCAAACAGACCCATAAGCGTAGTGTAATAGGCGTCCACGATCATGTTTTTACTCTGTTTGCATTCCGTAATCGAAGCGCGTAGCTGCTGCAATCTAGGGCCGTTAGCAACGCTATAGCGCTTCTCCAGGTAATCCCACAATTTTTTAGCCTCATTATGGAACGGTATTGACACAACAACACTCGGTTCCATACTTCGTAAGATCCACGAAACATCCATGGAATTATTGGTTTCCCAATCAAATTTCTTTGCAGCGTCGGTTGGTTCTTTGATTGTGCCATCAATGAAACCGTGTTTCCGGCGAGCCTTCAAGGAGAGAGCAAACGCGCGTGACCAAGCTACGTAGTTGTCTCCTTTGAAAATCACATGAGTGATAAGATTTTCGGGATGATCTCCCGAGCCTAAGTAGTATGGCGAAGTAACATCTCCCATTTTGCAGAATCAAGCACGCGGGTGCTGTCCTGCGAGGAAGAAGATGGTGATGATGCGTATGCAGTACGACGAGCCAATTACGGCTCTGATACCATGTTGGACGAGTGAGTATTTTGGGAATGAATATTTCTCATTGATTGTGCTGACTAGTACAAGGATATTTATACAAGTCAATATGCACAATAAAGCCCTTGGCCCAATAATAAAACTATACAAATATGTACTAAGCCCAAACGTGTGTTAACACATACCTTCCAAATGCTTTTCTAGATTCCAAAAGAGGAAAAGGAAATCACATATTGAATCATTGATGCAAATTCAAGGTGAAAATATTAATAAGTACTTGACTTCAAATAAAAGAGCCACTCGAGAGAGCATCCGAACGCATATGTCTCATATAAACTATTGTTGACGATACATGTTATAGTAGCAAATGTATAAAGAAGATTCTTAAAAACTTAGACTTGGAGAGACATTTTTACTATCGATCATGTATTCATGTATCAAGAAAGATTGAATGGATTAGCTATGTTGTCCATTAGAAAAGGTTTATTGAAATTTGAAAACCTAGATTATGCTAACTTATTTAATACTTTTGCAGCTAAAACTCTCCCACAAAGTGCACTTAATTAACTTTGTTTATGCATTTAGTAATGTTCGATTAAAATGTAAAAACTTCATTAAATTATTTATTTTTTGTGATTATCAATCTTATACGTCAAAATAAATTATAATATAAACAATCCTTATATAGGGGTCTTTTTATGAAGCATGAGTCAGGCTTAAAATAATTTATGATTGGCACTGTATATATATTTAGCCTTCGTCTGCTGAGTTTAATAAGATGCATTGTTCATTTCCTATCGGAAAATTGAAAATAATAATCCCCACTATTGTCGGCCCGCTAACAATAATCTCAACTATTAATTATATTTGTATAATTCCAACTATATTGACCATCCGTCAATAATGGTCCATGACTGGATATTACTTATAATAACATGTGAATTTTAAATAGAAATTAAGAGTAAAAATTAAAAGTTGGGGTTGTTTATAGGGATTGTCTGTAATATCTCTTCTCATCCACTTTAGAAACTACTCCATCCGTCCCCGAAAGAAGTTCTCATTTGACGTTCACACACTTTTATGCAAGTAAACTTACCAGGCAGAGGCGGAGCCAGGACACTGGGCCGGACTGGGCCAGTACAAAGAATATTTTTAGAAAAAAATTTACACGGAATTTTTTACCTTAACAATTTAAACAATTATAAAATTTGGGCTGGGCCATGGCCAGGGATGGCCACCCCCTCTCTACGCTCATGTTACCAGGGGGTAAATTTTACTATTTTGACACTGTTTCGACACTGTTTGACACTGTTTTGCACAGTTTGGCACTGTTTTGATGTAGATAACTTTCCATTTAAGGAAATGGAACTTAAATTAGGGACATCCAAATAAGGAAAATGAGAACTTCTTTCGGGGACGGAGGGAGTATATGAATTTATTTATAGCCGGTCACGTCGGATCATTATTGGCGGAAGGTCCCTAGGGATTATTATGAAATAATCGATAGTTGAGATTATTATGAGCGGACCGTCAATAGTTGGGATTATTACTATCAATTCTTCCTTTTATCTCCATTCAGTTCTTACTTCTTACTCCGTAACATCTAGTAGGACTCACGGCCAGCGGCAGAACTAGGGGGCGAGCTGGTGCCGGTGCTCTCCCTTCGCCGGAATACTTACGGTATTATAAGCACCCCGCCCCTGCAAATGTTTCGTTGTCTTCCTTCCTTTGTCGATCTGGTTCTTTGCGCCTATGGAAGGAGTGAGTAATACTCTGTATAATGCAATAGTTCCGTAGGCTTATTTTCATTTAATGCAACAACAACGTTTAGGTCTAAGTAACTACAGTGTAATAGATGTACTTTTTGGGCTAGTGGCCGTATGTAACTCCGTGTGTGGCTTATAATGCCTTAATTTGCTGCTACGAATTTTGTATGTACTGCCATCATATCATATAAATTACTACGTTTTATTATTATGCTTTAATAATAGTATAATAATATTTTAATTAATTAAAATATTAAATATAAATCCAGCGTTGTAACTTGTAAAACTATTTTACAATATTTAATTAACCATTTTATGTTACTTGGCTAGATTCCTTGAATGGAAATTAGGGAATTTATGTATATTTAATGATTGTATGATTTATTATTTTATAATTTTTATCTTCTCAACTTTTTATGTTCTTTTGTTATTTTTATCTTCTATCTTGTTATAATACTTTATCGTTTTATCTTTTATCTTTCTTATATTCTTATGTAACTGTTATCTTATATTTATTTATCTTTAACTTATTCGTTTTCTTCTTCTTGTTTGCATTCTCTTTTTTGCATCGATATCATGGATTTATTCATGTTAGCTGAACCCAAAAATGTTTTGAGATTAAGACTTGGATGATATTGCATAATTTGTAAAACCGTTCATGTGTAATTCCTAGTACCAAAATCATAAATAAGCATTTTGTAAACCACTCATGTCTTGCTTTTCTTTTGAATTTTTCAGAAATAAGTGTCACATTTCTTTTTTTTGAAATGATATATATAATCACAATATTTCACTTTATTAATTATAGTCAAATTTCAACTAGAACTTTTGCTTTTAAATCACTTTATTAGTGATTGTGTCAATCTAAAGCAAGACATATAAAATGAGACCGAGGTAGTACCATTTTGTCTAAATGGGTAAAGGGTATAAGTGTTTAATTTCTTATATAAAGTCAAATCATATATTTCCTCTCTTATATAGTTTAAGGATATACTAGTATATATATGTTACAAATTTAAAAATTGTGTATTTAATTGATTCAAAATGAAGTTGGAGGGTATACTTTCTCACATACAAAAATTTATTTCTTTATTTTTCAGCACCCCAAAATTGTTCTGGTTCCGTCACTGCTCACGGCGGCACTTGGCCACCAGCTTCCTCACAGGCTCACACACTTTGTGGGGCGGACAAGGACTACTGGAGGAAGAAATGAGTGTTTTACCAAAATACGACTAGAAATAGGGTTTTGAAAAAACTAGGATACACCAATTCTCAACGGAGAAGGTTGGATACACCAATTCCGACTAGAAATAGGGTTTTGAAAAAACTAGGATGTGCTCCTGTCGGATACACCACTTCCGACTAGTTTTTTTTTTTTCTTTTTCAAATTCTTTTTGATGAAGTGCTTTAACATCCGAATTGGCATGTGGTTTGGATGGTTTTTTTTATTAAATAAAGTTAGTTTTTTGAATGAACTTCCAAATAAATTTTTTGCAATTTTTAAAATGAAAAATATACATTTTGATTTTTTTAATAACAAAACATTGATTACTTCCGAATTGTTAATTAAATTCATAAAATGAAGTACAAATTTCATTTGTTTAATGGAAGTGAACAAAACAAATATAGTTTTTAATGTAATTTATTAATAAATAGATATTACGTGCATACAATAATAAATTTAATATTACATCTAACGTTGCTTGCTCGGCCCTGGCATGTCACCGCCGCCAGTGTTCCAAAACCCCGGTGTGTCTTCAAAAGTGGAAAAATATGCATCTGACTGTGTAGAGTACTGATAAGAACCATATATAATACGTCGGTGGTTCAAAAATTGTGAAATCTTGATGCGAAGAGAATTGAGGGGGCGGTTGTGATTCCTCACCCCCACCTTCATATTCAGCTGCATCACCCTCTTCCTCGTTTCCACCGTCACCAACATATTCATCTCTATCTTCATCAACGTGACCATGTGTATGATCACGGGTGGGAGCATATCTTCGTCGATCAGGCGTATGACGAGGGACGGGAGCGGGCTCATCTTGTGCATTCGGGTAAAGGAAAACACCCTGGTGGAGCATCATTTCATCACCTACATCCATGGCCAACCGCTCAAGCCGTTCTTTATTGTTTTCATCACCCGCCGCCTGGTTGGCGAGCTCATACACATCGTGAAAGCCGTGCTTCTGCATAAAAATGTAACAAGTATAAATAATAGATAGTATGACACAAAATATGTTAATGAATATGGTTTGTATTCAAAAACTTACCATAAGACCCCAATCACGTGCTGTCGGGGTGTATCCTGTCGTCGGCGCAACGTGAGAAGGGTTCCCGACACGTATCATCCCATGCCGCAAGTACCATTTTCGGTACCTATCAGTCGTTGTGAGTATTCTTTGTTGTTCGTAATCCAGCAGGTATACACTATTCCGTCGGTTCGCCCACATTGTCAAGACAGATGTTGATATGGCGGAACAACTAGTGTGATGATCATTACCCTGCTTAGCGTCTTGTGGAATATCTTGCATTATATAGTACTGCCGAAGAAATCGATCAGGGTAATGCCTTTCAGCCATATTGCAAAATATGAGCATCCCCTCGTATGCCCAAAGCTGGATGTCATCAACGCAAATATGTGGGAGTGGGTTGAACGGGTAGGGAAAGAAGTCAAACTGTAAATAGTAAATTTATAAGATTTTACTTTAAATTTAACAAGTATAAAACAATGTGTACAGAAAATTGAATAGTACGGTTGAAGTATAAATTCTGAGTACTACCTGACTCTCACTCATGCGATCAAAAAGGTCCCGGTACAAGAGTACACAGTGTCTTGGGGCATTCTTGTATGACTTGGGGACGATCCACCTACATTTGTTGATTACCAATATGAAGTTAAAAAATGAAACCACGTAAATGTGCAACTCATCGTACTCATTTCTAGCGATTCAGAAAAAATGAGTCCATGTCTTCTCATCGTGAATAGGCCATAGTCTAGACGCAACATATACCGAGTTCTTATATTTTAGTAATTTTCCGTAAATTAATCTAATTTCGGAAAATCCCTCACCTGTAACACGGTTTAGAACAGTCTCGTGTATACTGGTAAAATCATCGTCTTCACTAATGAATAGTACCGCCCTAGGAGGTATGGAGTACTCTATTTCATTATCTTTTTTAAATGTAGAGCCATTCCAATAAACCATAACAACAATCTCAGTAGACATATTTGTATATGGAGTATTAAGAGAGCAAGAAGTTTTTTTTTTGTATTAAAAATTTGAGGATGGGGAATGGGTTTTATAGCATAAATCAACACCAATGTTAGGTAAAAGTTTTGGTTTAAGATGGAACACGTATATAAATATTATAGGTGGGACCAAATTTTTGGCTTTTCCTCTGGTTGGAAGTGCCAATTCCGAATGGAGATAAAATGGAATCTAATGGCTTTTTTGGATTTTAATTGATTCAAGTTGGGCTTTTTTGGATTTTAATTGATTCAAGTTGGGCGGATGTATAATTTCAAAAAAAAAAATAAAATAAAATCTATACCTTGTCGGATTTCCCAATTCCTACAGGAAGCCTTGGCCGGATGTATAATTTCAAAATATATATATATATATATATATATATACCTTGTCGGGTTTCCCAATTCCGACAGGAAGCTAATGACTTTTTGGATTTTAATTGATTGAAGTTGGAGTGAAGTTGGCCGGATGTATAATTTCAAAAAAAAATTTGTAACTACTTGTCGGATTTCCCAATTCCTACAGGAAGCCTTGGCTGGATGTATAATTTCAAAAAATACATATATGTATATACCTTGTCGGATTTCCCTATTCTGACAGGAAGCTAATGACTTTTTGGATTTTAATTGATTGAAGTTGGAGTGAAGTTGGCCGGATGTATAATTTCAAAAAAAAAAATTTGTAACTACTTGTCAGATTTCTCAATTCCGAAAGGAAGGAAGCTAATGACTTTTTTTTTGGATTTTAATTGATTCAAGTTCGCCGGATGTATAATTTTTTTAAAAAAATCTATACCTTGTTGGATTTCCCAATTCGGACAGGAAGCCCTCACCCCAAACAATGCCCTAACCCCTGGTCGGAACACGTAAATCAGACTCCCGCATTTTGGTAACCTAATTCAAATTCCCGTATTTTGGCGTGTCAGACAAAAAAGTCTCGTGTTTTGGTAATTTCCAACGAGGCAACGAAGAAATACGTCTCAAATCTTCTCGCTGTCAAAAGTGCGTGAAGTGAGCCGCTCCAAAAGTTTTTGGAATAGTGGAAAACCGAGACCTCATAGGTCTATGACGCGTTGATGCCGATGACAACACTCACTCGTCTTGCCATCTTGCAAGGAGTGATCAAGCCAGAAGGGTTTGCTACTAGCTAGCTTGGTAACCAACCCCCGAGAGACTCTCAGAAACCCGGCCTCTGCCCCCAGAGGGATGACAAGTTTGCTGAGGCAGAAGATCAAGCTGCAGAGACAGAAGCAAGCCTATGAAACTGCTACTAGAAACTCAAAGCAGGGAGATATTTAAAGAAAAGCAATGTTCTAAATTTTAATAAAGGGCCATGCTTCCACAAAGGCAATGTTTTGAAGTTTAAGAAAATGAGAGGCTGCCTATGGAAAGCAGCACAAAGTCAACAAGAAAGAAAAGAAAGAAATTACATGCATTAAGCTTCTCTCTTTAGCTAAAACACTTCACACAACTTTTTATTTGTTACTCCCTCCGTCTCCCTATAATTGTCTCATTTTTTCATCTTTGGATGTCCCCTATTATTGTCTCATACCATATTTGGTAACACTTCACACAACTTTTTCATTCTTACTTTATACCCACTTTATCAACTCATTACCAACCACATAATTCTACTTCTCTTCAAAATCACATTATCACTCCCTTTCGTCCCAACTCTCAATATTAGGGGGACGGAAGTAGTATCATTTATAACCTATTATAACAGCTGTTCTATCACTTCACACAACTCTTAGTAAGGACGGACTAGAAAGTAGAAAATAATTATTCCGAGTTTAAAATAATAATCCCTCAATCCCGTAGGAAGGTTCCCACGGGTAAATGACACGACTTTTTAGGCAAGTGGTTAAGTAAAGTAATTTGAGTAAAAAAGAGAGGAAAGAGAACAATTTACAAAAAGTAAACATATAAAATGAACCCGTAATTAAAGGGAGATAAGTTGAGGGAGGAGAAATTGTGAGACTTGACATGTAATGAATAAGAAAGAGAAAATTGAGTAAAAGTAGAATTATTAAAGTGAGTAAATTCTTTCCTAAAACGGAATGTGAACCTTTAAATCTGACACCCAAATAAGAAAAGTGAGAACCTAGGACGGATGGAGGGAGTAGTAAACTAGCAAAAACGAAAAATGAGAAAATTTACACAAGATTCCAAGGAAATTGCTATGTGTATAGATTCGCCCCGAGCATTCAGAATAATAACAATGATTATAATGTACAATCGAGTATATATACAACAACATTTGAACAAGAACAAGAACAAAACAAAACATAATACTCGTAGTAAAATAATTTATTTTTGAAACATTTTTTCATCCTTGATTTACAGCCTTTGGTGTTAGGACTCAACGGCAGGTTGTGGGGTTGTTTGCTTGTTCCGGCGGACTATTCCCTATGGAACACTTTTAATTTACAACCTATTAGGCTATTATTATTAAAGGAGAAATTATGTTCCAGGAAACAAACACATTTCTCAGTTAAATAATTACACAACAATTGGCAATATCAGAGATGAGAGAATCAATACAAAAAACAGAAAACATCCGAAACTCCGTAAGCAAAACCATCGTCATCTTCCCCATCACTAAAGACATTTTCAAACTGATTTATGTGCACATTCTGGAAGTGTTGGATAGAGTCTTTTGCATCAAAGATGAGAACACTCTTTGTAGCCTGAATTGTTTTTGTGTCTACATTTTGTTGATCTACTTCATCCTTGACTTGGTTATGTGTTAGAATTCATCAAGTAACAAGCAAGAAGAGAAGAAGAACAAATGCGGCAAAACATAATAAGAGAAAAAGAATGCTTCAGGAGAATTAAAGTCTAGCCTATTCATGAAGCAAAAATAAAAGAGTTGAAATGCAGAGTGTGGGACACAAACTTATCAGGACAGCAGGTCAAGAAGGATTAATCAACAGACCAGATCAATGGTGCACATGAACCATTGCAGAGAACCAGACTGCAGCCCTACTTCAGTCCAAGAAGCATTAAATAGGATTCGTCATCTTCTGTCATTCAAAGAAACATCTTACCGCATCCCTGTGTGTATTTCCCCTCTGTAAAGTTTTTTTTTTATAGTTTCCAACCCTAGCAGTAGAATTGAGGCTATAAATATAAGCCAGTCAGAACATTGACAACACACAACAATCTTCTCAGCCTTTGAGCTATTCTAATGGAGTTTTAGAATTTCTCCTACTTTCATTCTTCATTTTCTAATATGGTATCAGAGCATAGGTTATCTTTGATAAAATCTCTTTTCTTTTTTTATTTTATTACTTATTTTTTAGTTCTATAGAAGGTCACCTTCTTTACTTGTTTGTTTAAAAGGCTCTGTCTCTTTAAGATTTGAACATGACTGGAGAAACTGGTGAAATAGGCAAAGGACTGGACAGTGGTGGTTCACCCCATATCCATGATGATCCCTTTAGTCCATACTACTTGCATCACTCAGACAACACCACCTCTGGTGCTGTTTCTCCAGTTCTCACTTCTTCAAATTATCATACTTGGAGTCGTGCCTTTATCATGTCTTTAACTCTGAAAAATAAAGAAGGGTTCATTGATGGCACTCTGGAAAAACCAGATGCCAGCGACAAGAACTCTAAGTCTTGGATCAAATGCAATACTCTCATCATGTCATGGCTCATTCACTCTGTTTCAGAGGAGCTTAAAGCCACTGTGCTATACTGTGATACTGCTAAAGAAGCTTGGGACAAACTCAAAGTGAGATTTGCAGAGCCAAGTGAAGTGAGAGTTTTTCAGCTTGAACAAAACTTAAATGCTTTTAAGCAAGGCTCCAATGATGTTTCTCTTTTCTTTGGCAAACTTTCAGCCATATGGGAAGAGCTGAGTAATTACCAGCCAATACCCACATGCTCTTGTGGCTTATGCAAGTGCAAACTCAGTGAAAAGTTTGAGAAAATGATTGAAACTAGAAAGCTGTTCAAATTCTTAATGGGCCTGTCTAATGTCTATGAAGTTGTGAGAGGAACTATCATTAGTATGGAACCTCTTCCATCTGTTGACAAAGCTTATGGTCTTGTCCTTCAAGAGGAAAGACAGAAACAAACAAGAAATATGGACACTGAAACAACCATGGATGCATCTGCTCTTGCAACAATTGGCACAAAAAGAAAAGATAAGAGAGATATGTATTGTCCTAAGTGTAGGATGAACAACCACTCTATTGAAACTTGTTTCAAAATTCATGGTTATCCAAACACTACTCTGCCCAACCAAAACTATCCTACTCAAGTTGGTCCTTCCTACACCAAAAAACCTCACTTTGATAACAACTTAAGAGGAGGTTACCAGAATAGAGGAGGGAGGTTTTCAGCTGGAAATAGAGGAGGTTTTGGAGGTAGAAACAACACTCATGGTGTCTTCAACAATCAGGTGAACACTGGGTTCAATGCAAGTAGAGGTGGTGATAGTCAGCTACAACTCACTAATGAACAGATCAGCCAGCTGCTAGCACTTGCAGAGCAACAAAAGAACAAAAACCCTGAAGCAAACATCAATGTTCATGCTGGTGCAACTAGTGCAAATGGAACTGCATCCACTTCTGGAAGTATGATATGTTTTAATTGGTTAAATAAGCCATGGATTTTAGACTCAGGAGCATCACACCACATCATATTTTCACATGATTGCATTACTCACAATAAAAGAAAAGTAAATAGTTCAGTTTCATTAGCAGATGGAACTTCAACACCAGTGAAATATGAAGGTGATATAGTCATCAATGAGTCACTGATACTTAAAAATGTATTATGTGCACCTAGTTTTAAAATAAATCTTGTTTCAGTTAGCAAACTGGCAGAGAATAATGATTTGAAAATCATATTTACTAAAGATGAATGTGTTATGGTGCAGAGAAACTCTACTCCCTTGAAGAATTCCTGGAGAAAGATTGGACTGAAGAATAGAGTAAGAGGAGGACTGTATCACTTGGAAGTTGATGAAGAATTATTTTTTCACAAGAAGGCATATGCCATTAATAAAGAGGAAGCAAATGTCTCTAGCCACATATGGCATTTTAGGTTAGGACATCCTTCTTTAGATAAACTAGCTAAAATAAAGGATTGTAATCCT